ACCCTTTCATACAGTTCCTCATGTGGTGATGACCCTCCAACCATAACGTTATCTTCGTTGCTACTTCATAACTGTCATTTTGCTACTGTTATGAATCGGACGACCCCTGTGAAAGGGTCTTTGGGCCCCCAAAAGGGTCGCAACCCACAGGTTGAGAACCACTGCCTTAGAAGAAACCCACAGACTCTTACGTGGTTAGCAAATTACACTGGATTTTATACTGGAGAAGTTTTGAGTTTTTAATAAGGCCTGAACTCAGTTTTCTTAGAGCATCCCTCCAGAACACTTTGGGGGCAACGATATTAAAGTGAAAATCAGGCCAGTGGTGATGGCAGGTCATCATAAAGATGATAAATTATATGTAACACCTTGATAAGACAAGAATGATACTAATTAGTATTTTGTATAAATTCCTAATCATTTTGGCATTCAAAGGCACCATCAAAATTAATTAATATCTCCTGTTGAATCTTTAAGGGAGCCCTGGTGGCCTCGTGGTCACACAATGGGCTACTAACCGAAAGCCCAGCAGCTCCTCCAGAGAAAGAGTGAGGCTTTCTACGTCTGTAGAGAGACGGTCTCAGAAACCCACACGGCGGTTCTGCTTTGTCTTACGGGGTCACTAGGCATTGGCATCGACTTGGTACAAGTGAATTTTGGGGTTTTAATTTTTTGTTTTTGTGTTTTGGTTGAATCCTTAACTGATGTTTGATACATGAGGTCCTGCTGTATTTGAAATGTATCCCCAGGTCATTTTATGGTAAACAAGACTGTAGCCCCCATTTATAATATTATTCCCATAAGCCAATATGTCCTGAGTTCCCAGTACACAACCTACAAATGGAATTTCAGAATATCAGTAGTTTTAGTTGTACAATGTACTAGAATAAGATATCTGACTACAATATTAAGTGTTTTAAGTGAATGCCAAAAATGAAATTAATAACTAAGTTTCCAAATGGTTTATAGCCATCTAATCTTTGCTGATTGTATATATATATATGAGGGGACTTTTAAGAAGTTGATGGGAAAATCCATTATCTTTTTTTTTTAAGATTTTATTGGGGCCTCTTACAGCTCTTATAACAAACCATACATCAATTGTATCGAGCATATTTGTACATATGTTCCCATTGTTATTTTCTGAATATTTACTTTCTATTTGAGCCCTTGGTATCAGTTCCTCTTTTTTCCCTCCCTCCCTCTCCCCACCTTGTGACCCTTTGATAAATTATAAATTATTATTATTTTCAGATTTTACACCCACTGCTTCCTACTTTTCCCCACAGTTTCTTCCACCCTCCTCTCCTCAACTTCCCCCAATCCTCCTGTATCACTACTCCTGTTTCTATTCCTGAGGGGTTTATCTGACCTGGGTAAACTCCTGTTTCTATTCCTGAGGGGTTTATCTGACCTGGATTTCGTATGTCATGCTCTCACCTGAACCTGTATACATAATCTGGTGTAGTCCACAGTGACAGGCAGGATTGGAGTCATGATAGCGGGAGATGAGGAAGCTTCAAGGAACCAGAGGAATGTTGTGTGTTTCATTGGTGCTATACTGCACCCTGGTTTACTCATCCCTTCCTTGTGACCCTTCTGTGAGGGTAATGTCCCATTGACTAGGTGGTTTGGGGGGGTCTCTGCTCCAACCCCCTTCGTTCTCAACAATTTGTTTGTTTTGGGTCTTCTGATGCCTGTTACCTGATCCCGTTGACACCTCATGATCACACAAGCAGGTGCGCTTCTTCCATGTGGACTTGTTGTTTCTCAGCTAAATGGCCACTTGTTTAACTTCAAGCTTTTAATATCCCAGATGCTATATTTTTTGATAGCCAGACACCATCAGCTTTCATCACCACATTTGCTTGTGCACCCATTTTGTCTTCAGTAATTGTGCTGGGAGGGTGAGCATCACAGCATGAGAGGTTGTTAGAACAAAGTGTTCTTGCATTGAGGGAGGGCTTGAGTGAGGCCTAAAGTCCGTCCTTTCCTCAATGTATTGTCATATAAATATATGTACATAGGCCAATATCTCTATTTTTATGAATTAATATATTTACGTAAGTGCACACCTATGTTTATACCTCTATCCATAGCTTTGCTTCCTAGATCGTTCCTGTTTCCTTTTCCCTTCCTCCTTTCCCACCCTCCGGCTCGCCCTTCTTCTGCCTCTTAGTAATTCCTTTCAGCTAGACTGCTATTTTTCCAACACCCCTAGGACCTCTACGTCATCCTCGTTGTTGATTCTAATTCCGTGGTTGTTCTCCTGTCTATGGCGATGTCTGCTCTGCACTCCTTCCCCTGAGTCCCTGCGGAACCGCTGATAAGTTGCTTTCTCCTTGGGCTTGCTCCCGTGCCTCTCTTCTATAGG